GTCAGCTTGGTAATATCAATGTTAATGCAAATTAGTTCACATTACGTTAACTCGTGTCATCGCTCATACGTCTCACGTCAGTGGTAGATCACACGAAGTTCTCGATACAAATACTAGTCTCTTGTTAATTTGGCGAATACTAAATTGGTACTTAACAGTTAATTTACGAGTAACTGATTGATCTGCCACAGTGTGTGACATCCAAACATTGCTGATGAGGCTCATTTTTTTAACGTGTACTGACATCTTTAATGAGCAAGTGTATTGAATAATAATCTTTGAATCGGTATTGGGTCTAAGGCAGCGTTGGTACTAGCTTTTTCAGGCATGACAACACCAACACATCCTTATTAACGAACAGCTATTAAAGCTATTCTTTCCATTTTATCTGAAACCCTCTTTGCTAATGTCCAGTAGTGTTGCCATGAATTGCTCTGGGACGGGCAGATCAAACCCTCCACTGTATTTAATTCCATATCTAACAAGACCTGACATTAGAAAAAAGCTAGGAGAGGTTTGCCTAATTGGATAAGAAAGTCTAGTACGGTTGGGTATGTCATATCCACATGTAATACAAGTAAAAGAAGTGTGAACAGCATTTATTATGCTAAGTATGCATGGAAACTGCAATGTTTTATATTTGTTTGGGTAGTTGTATGTGGAAATTAACGTAAAATAATTCAACTATAACAATCACCAACAATACCATAATGCCACTGAAGATACTAAACGTAACATAACATGTAAACATACTAGCTTGGACGGCAGCCTATGCTTGGTATTGACGCATTGGTTCAGCATTGGTATGTAATTACGATAAAAGTGTTCTGGAAGAGGGTAGTGTTACAAATAATACTGCTTGAAAAAAAAACATCCCGCCATAAGTACACATCACCGTGTGCGTCAGCGTGGAGGTAGGAAGAACAAATCAAAATGCAGAGAAAATAGTTCAAGTCCTCAAAACACATTGAAATTGGCAAATAATACTGCTCTCTTTTTAGTATAAATTCGGCAAAACAAATTGCAAAATTTTAACAAACCCGTGCCATGTAAATGCCGTCAGGCAGCGGGAAAGTCGTTTGCCACGCACATCAGTTCAAAGGTTAAAATTGTCGCACTGATATTTATATTCGAATTTATGATTAAAACCGTATCGTCCTAATCAAAACAAAAAAGTGTTTTTATAAAAATTGCAACACCTACACAAACGCCAAATAAATAGTTTTTATTCTGATATAAGGTGAACACGAATGTCACTGCAAAATGCACGATATGTTAACAAACTCTTCAATGTTTGATCAAAAATCTATGAGAACTAGTTACATTTGATACCATACATTACAATTTTTTGTCCCACCTAACCTGTCAATTCGATTGATTAGTTTGATAAAAATGACGAAGGAGCATTGATCTGACCTTCAAAAATCACATTCTTTACCAGGAATTGGTAAACAGGAACCTAAACACAGGGCTGCCAACCAACCTTATAACCAACGGTAAATAAGTATATACTTCGGCAATTTTGCACGTTTTCATGTTTCAATTTGTCACCTTTTGTGAAAATGTATTTGTCCCCAAAGGCAATACTCACTGGATAGGTCATACTGACTATAAATACTCTGGTTTATGTCTAAGTCATGACCATCTATTCACTGTAGATTTGCGTTCATTACACGATTTTTTAGCTGCTATTTTGTAGGTGGTTAGTGTGACATACTTAGTGAGATGTGCGACTAACTACAGTGGCTGGGGGGCGCTGTTGTCAATAGTTTTATACACGTAGACCACACTAGTTGCTCTCCCGAACCTAAGGCATTATTTGTATGGGGAAACGTAAATGATCGGACATGTGATTCAATTTATGATCGAACTAACACCCCGTGCTTGTATTAACAAGTAGGAACATTAGGAAAAACAAGCACATTCGAACAATTTCGGACATATGAGTTAGGGTTTTGTGAAATGTGCGTTGCTTTTGTGTTGTGTTGTAAGAAAGGCACCGCGAAATGTACACAGTAATATTTTATTTTATTTTTTTTAAATTTCAATTTGATTCTACTGCCACTACCAATCTAAAGTGAATATGTTGATATTGTACAATGTGTATCTGGTCGTGACATTCGGAAGCTATTCGATGTGAATTCGTCGCACTGTAATACTCGGGAGTTATAGTTACAGATATCCCAGTCTCAGCTTATGCAGCACATCTGAAATAAAAAAAGTAAGCTAATGTAATCAAGTTGCTCGAAAGAAATGTTGGAGGGGCATCGCCCCCAAAATCAGCTGTCAGCACAATTTGCCCCTCAAAATGCTGGAAATAGCGTTTCAGTTGGCCTAATTTCAACAATTGTAAGGGACAGCATGCCCGGACGCGCCTAGTAAGGTCGCGCCTTTGGTGTGAGGTAGCAGATCTCGCCCCCTCATGCAAAATGCCGCCGCCTCTGATTCTTGGTGTATGAAAACTTACTTCTAGTACGATATACGTTCAATTGAACTTTACAATAACTATTCATTTTGTACAAATCGATTCACGATAATGCCACAAACAATGTGAAAGATAAACTTGTTTCATGCCATGACAAATCGTGCAGTAAGACACCCATTTCTGAATACTAAATGTACATATTCAAAAATACGGAAAGATGAAAAAATAATTATAGTGATGCTCACTTTGTGGCCCAGCTATCGCCAAATTCGTCTTTATCCAGAGTGACCAAACCTTGCGGTGTCATGAAGTCGTTGTCTGGATTACCATCGGCGTTACCGCAAAGGCCTCTCGTCTCAAAGGTACCCCCTATTGGCTGGGTCACTTTGATTTGAACGGCGGAGCCCGGAAGCCATTCAACCTGGAGGTCATTCATTCCATCGCCATCTGCGTCCATCGTTATTTCCACATTATCTTCGATCATATTCAGTTCGAACTGGTTGGATTTACCCAATGTAACTGCAGATGTCAAAGGAAATTTATTTCCGTCGTCAAGCTGAAAACAAAAATAAAGTCATGTTCAATACTATTCTATACCAGATTGTGGTGGGATTATCCGAACGACGCTCTCCACATAAATCCAAAGTGGCGATGTTTAAACCCAAACACAAACATGAGTATTATTATACTATATTAAAAAACAAGATTGTAACAAAATAGAAAATATCCTTATGTTTATTTATGACATTGAGTCATAGGATATGAACTGCATTTTGTTAACTCCTATGCTATGACTGAGCGGCGCTGTTCATATAGGGGACTTTCCGCCTTCGTCTGTCCATTGGCCGTCAACCAACTAACAGCTCGATTACGTTGATTCTCCGGGCGTACCTCTGTCAGTACCTCTGTTTTTCGTGAAAAATGTTTCAATCATTTTTTTCCAGCGAATAATTTTGTCATTTGGGGTCAATGTGTTTTCGATTTAAAACTACTTTGGGTGTGTCAGATCTGGTCTATTGCTAATAATCTGGGTGGATATTTTTTTTATATTCAACGACTTTTTACTCGTCTGACAAATCTGGGTATCTCATAAATGAAACAATACGTCAATCAAACAAAATAGTTCTGTTCAGGAGTAGCTTTTCCGTCGCCAATTCTAATATAGAAGACGAGGTGCACTATTTATTTCAGTGTTGAAATTGACAACTCATTTGTTGATGTTCATGTCCACCTTCATATCCAGGATTTTGATTTCTCGCATATTAGAGGAAGCCCAATTTTACCGGAAATGAAATTACACAATATCAATGTATTCATGTTTGGGTTTCGCAGTAAAACAACGTACGATACATACTTGAACATATACAGGGTTCTTGCCATCATTGTGATAAACATGTAGCCTCTCTCCTAATTGAGTAATCTCCAGCTCATGTACACCGAAGCCAACATTGAATGGCACCACGACTGCATTAATCGAAGTCGTTTGATCATTGGCAATGATTTCAGATAAAGTGTATAAGCATTGAGCACCAATGGTGTAGTGTTTCTTGTCAAACGTAGTGACATGTGGATCACCAGCAACTACACATACGCCGTGTGCTAAACGGTAAAGAGAAATAAACATCATACAAATATATGTAAATAACATACCCCGATATGCTTAAATACTATGACCTAGATACGTGACATCATATACTATTATAACCAAAACGGGTGAGTTTTTATCCCGTTATAATTGTTTTTTAAGGTTTTACGGTATGTACGTTGACACCTTATTCATCACGTGATCGCTTACTCACCCGTTGGCGGCGCGCAATAAAAATCGCTAGTCAAATTAGCAGCATTACAACAATAACGGCATTTGGTTGCCACGTGAAGCGGTAGACTGTCACAGTTGTTAATTTTAGGTTCGTTCGCCTCATTCTCGATACAGGCCTGATGAACAGAAAAACACAAAAGGAATATTTAATTAATCAATACAAAAGTATGAATTCATATTTAACTCGGTCACATCGCTTAAGATAATAGAACAAGAATTATTTATATTATATATGTTTTATATAAGAACAGTGACATGGAATACAAAACCAGACGCGTACATTCAGTAGAAAATTATACTTTAATAAAACTAGAACCTGTACAGTTAGTTACTAGACATATACAAGCGAGTTATCCTTTGTGAGTGTAGCAAATCATGTAATGTTTCATTGCCGACATGCACGACTAACTGATACAAAACAATTGTATTGCAAACAATATTAAAGCGGGAGGGTCTTTACCAGCGCACGCGCGGGAATTGAGTCCCAAGCGACGATAACACACGCTAAAACCGCAAAGGCTCATGGGTAGACGCTTGTTTGTAAACAATGACACGCTATGACCATCTGACGCATGCGCGGGTGACGCTTTAACATGTATACCAATAACTTATACTTATATATGTGAATACGTACTTCTATTTGCTGGCATTCTGATGAAAATACAAACTTGCCTTTCCATTGCCACAATTCTGTCATGCATTCAGGCTACAGAATAATACACAAAGTGATATCAGTCTCTATATCAATACATTGTTAAGCAGTGAAAATACTCGAACAATTTAAAAAACTATAGTCAAAAATAAAATTCAATTCGAGAACGCAAAACAAATTCCTGATAAACAATCAGCATTAAGTACAGAGTCGAATCGGTGAATAACAATATATAGACATTGTAGTTTACATGAATTAATACATGATTTGAATAAAAAAAGTGAGTACAACGAGCTTCGCATGTAGCACCTGGTGTATGTATGAAACATAGGACATGCAGTTGGTAAGTAGTAATGATGTAATTCGTGATCATCTGTGAAACAGTGTTATTACATTTAACCACAAACTCAAAACCTTTAGGATGAATGAACTAAGACAATGTCCCCTTGAAAAAAAGTATTACGAATGAGTTGTGAAATGTATACCTCAGGAAAGAGTTTAACATTGCTATGAAGGTGTGTAAAATTGATACTTGTAAAACACTCAATTTTTTTCCGACCATTAAAGGGCGGTCGTCGCCGCGCAGCGTATGTGCGACATTTCTGTTGATAAACATTGATTTTCCCATAATCCAATGCGCTCATCTAACGGCAATCACAAGTATGAGGTTTGGCCTGGGCGCAACTTGCACTAATTACCGCCAGTGAGTCTTTCGATACCTTCCAATCACCTAAAAATTACATAATTAGAGCTTGGTAACGTCTCAGTTTGTACTCTTTGATATGCGCAACAGTCAAAGTCGCCATCTTTGTTTATGTGAGACCCATGTATCTCGCGCATACGTGGCGCGACGACTACCGGCCTTTAAAGTCAAATTCAAAGCACAAGTAACTAAGTATAGATAAGTGATTACATAGAAAGACAGCGACAATATGGCACCTGCTGCTACTGCATCGCACTCCGCAGATCGAAAGACGTCATCACAATTGAAGGTACAGCATTATTGCATGGACCATTGAAGAAACATACAAAGTACATTAAAAACATACATACACTAGATGTTTGGCATTGTACATATTTATCTTCTTCAGGTTGCGCTAAGCATTCCGCTAAGGTCATCTTCGCATTAGACCGACACTGCAGACAGTGGCTGGCTGTAAGTAGTGCATGTGCAGTAATATGATTACAACAATTTAATTTAATAGTTCGATTTAGTAAAGCGTATTGTAGATGTATTTAGTATTTAGTCCCATGTATATCAATACATACCTTCTCCTTGGCCTTCTTGTATAAGACCATGGGGATTACCTTTACCTTGATTACCTTTTGCACGCCTGATTGCTTTACCGTGGACTTGGTGTGCAGCCTAAACAATTAGGAGAGCAATTATATTGTGTTATATTGTATACATGTAAAAATTTTAACAAAAATAAAAATGAACTTTTTGGTTTTAGTTTTCTTATTCGCAAGTGCACTACAGTCTGATTCCGTGAACACATTTTTCACTGTATAAACGATGCTAGAGGCCAGGTCGCCTCTGTGGTGAACATTCAATGCAGTTTGAATACTACACCGGCGAAACGTTATCGCTGTGAACTGAACTAGTGTTTATAGTGCGGGGTGGGGTGATGCGTGTGCTCCCCATTCCAATTATAATGTATGTGTGATGACGTCATGCATTTATATATGTCGCATTCATGATGTTCGTAGGCATATACTACTATATTATAAGCGATCGTCTGATATTTCAGAAGATTCGATGTTTACACATGAAACGTAGGCACACAAACACAAAGATCACACTGCACCGGGGGCCACTTGTGTGTTTGATATAATTTTTATGAATTATATTATATTCCATTAAGGTCGATATACAGATTCCGTTCGTTAACCTGTGACAGGGATCAACGTTTTTACACCAAATTGGTCACACAAAGGTAGCACTGCAATAACATCCATGCTACAGTTTCAAATGACAAGATGTTATCCTCTGTTCAAAGTTGTTCACGTATTTCTTCTATATAATATTACTGTTCAAACTATGCACATTAAAGAATCGATTAAAATGTTTGTAATTACAATGTCACAGCAGCCTCATTTCGTATGTGTCCCGTTTTCGAGTGATGTTCTGACAGGGATGTACGCGAGAAATGTGTAGAAAATGCTGCCACGTACATTCTGCATGCCTTTTCATCATTAGCACACGTTTTTCATTCGACATGTTAATGGTGACATGCTCCTAAATTCGCCGTAAGTTAAAAAACAATAATTTTCCAGAATTCGATGAATAAGCAGATTGATTTGTTTGAATACCTCACAAAGAACTTTTGTAGTTAAGGACGACCCTGTATAGAGTGATGTTTACTCGGCACATTACGACACTTGTGAGTACTATTAATACTGTGGACCTGGCTTCTTTGAGCTGGAGAAGGTGTCGGATGAAACAAATAAGATGGCATCATATAATATAAACATATCACATTTAATTTGTTGGGTTCATTCGAATCTTCACTACATAGATACACACATTGTTTGCGGTATCCGAGATTCATTTAGTCGCGGTGGGCGGTATTTATTACTAGTAATGATCGCGTGTTCGTATTCGGCGTTTTAAGTTGAAATATTTGTCCGTTTGATTTTGCGGTTTGTTAATCCGATTTATTGAGCCAGCGTTTTGTGTTTGCTGGTTTAGAAACATGTTTATGTATATGTTGATCCAATTCATAACCTGTAGTTGTATGCGAACAACAATGTCGAAATCAGTCCAGGAAATTGTTTATTCACTCCGTGACTTTCACACATAGAGGTAACATGCATGGGGTTGGTTGCAACTAGGAAACGTGTGTTTACTTAAGCAGGCAATTTGTCAGTGTACTATAACCATCCTGCTATCATTCTTATTTTTTAATTAATCTATACCTCCAATACCGTAAAATAGTTTGTAATGTAAGAGCTAAAATGTTTCTTTTTCCAACACCACGAATTTCAAACTTTTTCTGATGGATATTTAACTTCTACTTTTTGATAATACGTGCGCACAGCTTTATTTGTTTCCAGACCTCATTTTAGAATTTTCTAATTTTGTTATGGTACACTTAAATTAAAAGTTGTAATTTTAACAAAGAACTTGCGTTCATTCTAACAACCTTAAAAGTATACAGTATTGAGTCACCCACGTCGACTATAGAGTATGCTATACACTGAATGCGTACCAGTCTGCTATCGTGAATAGTTGGTATGAAATCGTCTTCAACTTTCCCGCAGCATAACCTTTTAGGGAAAAGCATGTGTGATTGAAAACAGATCCAGGCGTTTTCCTCGCGGTCTTCGGTAGATTGTGGTTATAGTTAAAAAAAATAGACATATTTAGATGACAGATACGGTGTTGCTAACCTATTTATTTGTTATCCATCGTATGCGGTTACATATACAAACAGATACAACAAAGTATGCGGTCACAGATACAATCGTCCCAGTTCTCATGACAGAAATAAATTATCTCGCGGAAATTCGCCATCCTTTCCGATGAGAATGATTTTTCTGACAAGCGCTCAAGATGTGATTAGCATACTAGGCTAAGAATATCATAAACAATTTTTTGGTTGTGATTTTGTCTCATCAAAAAATACTGAAAATTACATCATGCTAGTAAGTAAGAAGCTAAGACTGGGCGAATGAACCCACAACTGCATTGGTGCTAAGCGAAAACGCTGACCCCCGGAATACATGCAAGTTTTGGTGGTTGTACCATTGTTCATACACTACGGTTCGAAAAACGTTGTAACTCGTGAGTAATGACGATAATTTATTACTTTGAGGCTTAGTTTAATTGTGAGTAAAAATAAATATTGATATTTCAATTGAATAGCATACAATAGACCTTTGAAATGCATTTATAATAACGGAGCAGGGTTAGTATCTACGAACACATACGTACACATACGAATGTATAATATATGACACTGTTGGGTATTTAATTTGACTAGATACAAATTATAATATATTTGAGTTCACTGGATGCGTTTTTAAGTATATTAGTATACAGATCCAAGGTATCTTATCGACTAAGACCAACGCAAAATAATTCCAAAGACCAACAATATAAGATAATGTACTTACCAGAAAGACGAATGCCATACACATGTACATACAATATCGAGCCATAACTGTAGCTGTATCGTAATGAGACAAATTGGATGCGGTTGTGGAACTTCATTTATATCGTCGAAGGTACATTCTCATTGGTTGAAAGAATAATGTCAATATTGCACAACACATTGCGATATGATCTTTTCCATCGTTTCTAGTAGTTAATCTGTAGAAAAATCGATGCATTTGTACTTAAAAACAATATTTAATCACTCGAGAGTTTTCGTTATAAGATAAGTGCAAACAGCTTGTAATTGTGCTTCTAAGATACGTAATTCATTACAATATAATGCATATGTCACTTTGTTACTGATAAACTAATGCAAATACTGCGTTGACACAAAGTGTCCTGCTGAGTCACAAGTGGCACAAGATGTATAAGATCATCCGGAAGGCGCCTATTGTCATATGACAACTACTTGAATATGTATGTATTATAATAATTTTATATAAGGGTATTAAGGAATACGTGGATGTGATTAATGTTTTGTTGACAAAGCTGTGGCTTAAATATTTGTAATATAGAGGCTTTGTGCTCAAAAAATGCTGCTATTTTCTATTGCTATTGGAGCTATTTTCGCTTTTTCCAAATCTTCTTTATCTGTTCTTTCATATTACTGACGTAAACGCTCTCGGAATAGCGGAGCCATAGGCTCACTTAATTAGTCGTTTCCAATCAATTGGTTTGTGTCATTATATCACTCAGAAATAATTGTATTTGTCCATGGAGATGTCACGTACATGAATACCGTTGCTTAGTCCGTTCCGAGTATGACACTTTGCGAGGATGTGCAATTATTTAAAATTGAATTTGCTGTAGAATTTGTAGAATTTAGTTACCAAGTTACCACAATCAAACAAGTTTGCAAGTATTATTATTAATCATTTGATATGCGGCTAAACAGTGAAATACTGTCATTTATAATTGAAATCATGATATGCAGATAGAAAAAAAAAATACGGACACGCTAATTTCAAACGAATTAAAAACACCAACAATGATTGAAACAGTTAACCACATTTCAAAGTGTATGACAAAATCGAATAGAAATAATTACTGATATGGTTATTATGTCAATATGGTGTTCTTAATCCCTGTAATTCAAGTGAAACTCGTTTGTTTTTATTACATCAAAGTACATGTGGTACAGAACAGTTAAATGTTGTAACATTTAGCGGTAATGCGGACGGTCTTTCAATTGTGATGGTTAACCACTCGGAGACCGGCGCGTAAAAACCCAACTTATGACTCCGTTCACCGACAGTCAGCCAATAGTTCGGTGCGAATAATTATGGTTTCAATTGAATTTCTTGGAAGATAATAGAAAAATTCACAGTCAACCATCTTCTCAGGTATAGAGTAACTAAACTAAAATTGTCTAGTACATGTTGTTTCTTGGTGTATTAATATACATATGTGTTTGACACTCTACTTCCATCCACGGCATATTGCATGTAACAAAATAACGTGTTGAAAACAAACGATACATTACTTATCACATCTTAGCTCTCGTTGTCAGTCACATAAATAAATCCCCTATTTCCGCTTTGAAAAGTACAGATGCGCATTCACAACTACAAAGCAGTTCCAGATTTCTCCGCCGTTTCATATTATCACCACTATTCAGCCAGGATTAGATCATGACCAAATACTTGATACATTGTTAAAGTACCATCGTGCGGTACTGGAATTACGCTATTGTATGTACTGTAAATATCTATTGTGTTAACGTCACATATTGATATTTAATTCTAATATTTATTCTCTCATATTATAGCACTTTAGTTGCTCATTAATTTTACTTAAAAATGATCGTCAATCAAATGAAAACGTCAATTTTGACGGTCTAACAGGAGATCTTCACAAAAAACAACAACAACAAACGCACAGCTGAATATGATATGACAAATCCACTTACTGTTGAAATTCCTTTTTTTTGTATAATAGTCGTCTTTGGATACATATTGAATGACAAATATTTTGGTTTCGTACTGACGTAAGATATTGCATAACCGTAAGGTAACACATCATAGATAGTTATAATGTCCGCCAGATGTATGACGTGAAAGTGTTAGATTACGTCACCGTCAAAGCGTTGCAGTGAGGTTATTAGCTGACCGCGAATAATGTACATACATATTTTATACAGCATAGTCGAAAAGGGCAAGATGTAATAGGGTCAGAAATTGACAATCGCAAATTAGGTTCTAAAACACTCCAATGAAATACACAATGAGAACATAAGAACACATATATTTCATTTTACTTTAATAATTTTACTATTTGAAGCAATGTCAGATATAGTTTCTAATACAAATCACACACACGTTGATTATCAGAGTCAAGTAATTATTGCTAATGCAGTGCCAATGACACCATTGGGTATTTGCCATGCATACAGTTTTTTGAGATTCATTAATCACTATCGAAGGTCGTGATATCAAGTACACAACTCAAAGGCCTCTACATGCTACTAAACACTCATTTTCAACATTGTAGTATATACCAATATTTACGCTCAGCTACATGTTGAAGTGGTTTAATTGCATCCACTCTGAATCAATTCCGTCCGTTCTCTCTCTCTGTCGAATACTGCACTTGTGACAACCAATTTTGCAAAGTCATTTTGTTCTCACACATTTACTCAATGACAGACTGACCGAACGACACGATATGATCACCGATTCCTTTCTCTCTACTGTGTTCGTGTCCTAATATAACGACTTATCGTATTTTTGGTTGACAATTGCATTCATTCATTGGGTTGTCTGATATACGTTCAACTTAACTTCAAACTTTGCAGTCCCCCAGTAATCCACTAGACAAGTAGTCTGTCACTTTATATGTCTACCATTCTATATTAGTGGTTTGGTGATAGAGGTGTGAATAAAACGCATACATAGTTTTATAGACATACATGGTGGTTGATAATTGAACAGTTGTAAAATTCAGTTGACAGTGAAACGTGGGAGGAGTGTTGAGTACAGTTTAAATAAAAGAGTAACGACCCTGTCAATGTTTATGTCGCTTTAAATTGTATGTCTGGTTGCTAGAATACGAAAACGACGGCACGCAATATGTATATCTGAAGCGTGTCGAATCAACGGAAATAAAGTTAAAGTCATAAAGAGTTATGCAGGGATAAAATAGTACTAGTAATAGTACTAGTGTTCGCTAGTGTGTTATTTTACATTAATTGCTGATCGTAGATATATTGGATTTGGATACAGTCTGATTCACTGGGATTCACACTTTTGTTTTCAACTTGCACGTAGCGCAAGTAAACATTTTTTGCACATTAAAAGTGTTAGCTGGCGTTTCATAGTTCACTGCGAGAAATGAAACTGAAATCACCGTACTTTGCGAAAATTGAAAGCACATTACTGCATCACAGTTGGAACGTTATATTACAGCTCTGTAACTCATAGAACCCAATTGCCATATAGGTGACAACATTTATGATTTAAAATACAAATTTGAGACAATCATGTTGCCCGTACATTTAAAACAGTTGTTAGTGTGTGTTGTTATTTTTATTTCGCCCTGCTTTACAATGTCATTTCAAATTAATAATCAGTGAAAGGGGAAAAACATCACTAACTAGATACAGATGAGAAGTGTTATTATACGTGTCATCTTCGCCAGCCAAGGACAATTTATTCGGCTGAAGCCTCAACATTAACCCTTGGCAGATTTCACCACGATTTACTGTATGTCGCACGCCCTCAAACGATTTTAGGATTCACTTCATTTGCATCACCCAATCAGAACTCACGAAAGAAACTGCACATTACTTGATAGCATTAAAATGGTGGAATCAATAAACGTGTTGCTAGCTTTTCCCCTGAACGAGCTTACAGATCATCAAAAGAAAACGCTTAATGCTGTATCTGAGGAAAATGACGTGTTTGTTGCAAACACAGTCCCTTAACAATATTTCAACAAAGACCGAATCGGGCAAGTTGATATAATATCAGTTTTGTCAGTTTTGTCAGATTACTAAAACACAGTTTGCACAAATATTTAAACATTCCATCGTCCTCATTCACTTGCCCACAAACATTTTTCAAAAAATAAGAAATTTTTATAAACCTTCTGTTCTTGCTCCAGGTGAATCTGCACAAAGCCTACACGCCGCTATTGTTTTAATCTGTGATGAGCTCCCAGATTTTCACATTTTATGATTGGTGGAGCCAGCTCCTTGGCGCGCCCAATCAAATGACTCAATTTAGCTGCAGTGAAATACAGCTTTTCCTAGCACGATCACGCACGGGTTTGTGGGCCGGTTATGAATGGCCGGCTTTAGCGATACTGTGCGATTCGGACGATGGAGGATGCGAGCCTAAATTAAAACATCATTAACACACAAGTATTGGGGCAGTTTGAACCTGATGATGTAAATTGTGTAAGTCTTCTGTACTGGAATTATTGCAACTGTCTATAATGTTTCACATGTCAGATACACACGGTGTTTCGATATTTGTATAATTCATTATGGTCAGTGTTATTGCACATATTGTTAACAAAATAGTGTTTACTCGTCCACTGTTTTCATTAAATGAGTGATACTAAATGTGACTAAAATGAAATTTTGTATTACTTATGCAAGGGGTATTTTCGTAAGCTGTAATCAATTGTTTTTATTTTCGTAATAATGTATTTTAAGTAAATAAAAAACGTAAATTCAGAGACATGGACATGGTGTAAATTGTAATCAGATATTTTATTCGTTCGTAATTTGTACAAGGATCTTATTTTTGTAAGCGTATACAACATTTTCCACATTACATGTCGTAATTCGTACGCAATTTTGACAAGCACAAATTATCAAATATATTATAAAAATGTAATTAGGAATTTGCTTTATCTGTAAAGTGTAAGTGTATTTTTACTGTAAATGTAACTTTCATTTTATTTCCTGTAAAAACGTAAAATGACGTTTTTTATTTCCTGTAACAAGTACCAGCTATTCCCCTTGCCCCCCCCCCTATAGGCAAATCGTTGACGATCAATG